CACGGTTGCCACTTATGGTACTTTAGTACCAAAATTGGTACTTTTCTTTTTTTTTTTTTTCGTTTGGTACTCATGTTCAAAAACTGGTACATTGACGACCGAACTTTATTGTGGATATTTCCAATTAATTTTTTTTATAAATGCAACTTTGCTCTATTTTGTATTTTGTTCATTTATAACACTATGAAAAACACAGAACGAGAAAACAAAAAGGTCCAAAAAAATTTTGGACCTTTTTTTACAGAAATGGTACCTTTTTAAACCAATTTTGGTACAGAAAAAAGTTTTCAAGTGGCAACCGTGTAAATAGTTATGTTTAGAAAATCCGATTTGAATCCGAATAGAATCTTGTATTTGCATAATAATACAATAAGTTACCTATATTGTCTTTATAAAAAGTCATTAAATTTTCACACATCTTACCAAGAAAAGCCCATAATTGTTGTATTACGCGCCAAACGCCAACCATTGAAGAGTGAAGCAATACCGTATACTGGCTCTGCATCCATTCCTTTGTAAAGTCCAGCTAATTCCTTTTCCGTCACATCGAATTGATGACCATTTATTTTCGCTATCTTCTTAAATTGCACAATGGCATCGGCAAAACGACGTTTGCTAATCAACCAACGTGGCGATTCAATGACGTATCTGCGGAAAATTAAATTGAGTAAGCAAAAAAATTCAATCGAATAGAGAATAGCTAATATCGGCAATTACGACTTTATACAATTGATATTTAATTAAAATCGGTATCTATTTTTATGGTAGCAATGTAAATTTTCTTAATTCATTAGCAAAATTCATTTAAAAATTTGAAAAAAATTTCACTTAAAAATTATTGTATTTAAATATTTATAGAAACTATAGTAAAATACTTCAAAGTATCGATGCTGTGGGAATACCCGCGAAAATTGTAGCTTTTGACTGTAAGACTAATTCCAAAAAAGAAATGCAAAAAATTAGGAATGGCAAACAGAAATTGAAAACAATTGAATTGACTTGGATGTTTCCAATTTGATGCTCACATATCAAACGAGTCAATGCAAAGCCGATGTGCTTCAATGAAAGTCACACAAATGAACTTGATTCCTAGCCTAGCAAGAACAAAGCAAAAAATTGCTATGTTACAAATGCCAACTATGCCAAGTGAATTTTTTCTTCTCCCAACTTTTGTTTTTCGACTTTAGTTTTTAACAGCAAACGTGCCATGGAACCAAAAGATGCACTATTCCATGCTCGCGATTTTACTACATTCACAAGAATTCCCTAAAAATAGTTCATAGTTGCATGTGTGAGGATGTGCTTACGTACTTGGAAAAAAGCAAAACCAGTGCCGTTGGTATTGAAGTGTACCACATAAAGGATTCCCAATCACGTAGCCACCAAAAAAGTAATGGCATCACCGTTGTACCAATGGACCAGCCAAAACTTTGATAAAAAGCAATTGCACTGCGATCCTTTCTGAAAATAAAGAAAACAAAAAATTAATGAAAGGATTAAGGAATAAAATTAAAAAAAGAAGATGAGAGAGAAGTGAAATTATATATGAAGAGAAGTACAATTAAAAATAAAGTGGATTAGAATGATAAGATTTCCCATGAGGTTTGTCATTTTCGAAGATATTGATTATTGTTGGACAGTTATTGCTTTGGGTTAGATTGTAGTTATGTACATTGTTCTTTTAACAAAAATTCAAATAAATGAGTTTCCAAAACCATTTAAAAAATATCATTGCTTGTTTCTAATTTTATTTTAAAATCGGGAACATTATACACCAAGATTCAGGTGCTTCATTGTGCTAACCTCAGTTATTTAATCGGTTATTATTAGGCTGTTAATTAACGTTAGCAACGTTCAAGTTTTTGTTTTCTTCCATATGTTATAAAGAGTGAAGAGTCATTACCCAAGATTTATAAGTTTGCTCCTGCTCAATTCAAAACCTTGGCTGAGAATGTGGTCACATGTTGGTCAGTTCTAATCATTGTGTTTAGATTTTTCATCATATATATCAAAAAAACAGCAATTACTAGTCTTTTAAGTGCTGTTTTAGTTAAGTTAATCGGCCCTCAATTTGCGGTGCTTAGTCAAAACATTTTCAAAATTTTTATATCCTCTATGCTTAGTGCAAGGAGTCCATTTAAGAACACACTAGATGGATTTATGTATGAATTAGCCTATCTTTGGTTCTAAGTAACATATTTATGCCGTAATTTTTGAATTAATATTCTTTCCAATAACTGAAGTTTTTCACTTTGATCTCGCCAGATTATAGATTAGCTCAGACTTAATAAATTGACGTTAGACTCCTCATTTGCAGAGACAGTAAGTCTTTTTGTTACATTTGTTGCCGTTGTGTTCCAGAAGTCAACACACAGTAATGTTGTTGAGTTGTTCCTTTTCAATCTAGTTTGAAAGGTAACTGCCCAACATTTCTGAAGGTGTGAGCTTAAGGCTAGTAGCATCGCTTAGTTGCCACATATAATACTGATTGCCGTATAACATAAGCTTGTATAGCTTATTTTATGGCAAATAATATAATATTATAATGTAAAGGTCCTTAAGTGATGTTCTCACCACCAAGTTTGAATCCACCTATATATTTGTAGCAGTTTTATCTACTTTTTGTAAATGTAAGTATTTTTTATACGAACTTATATATACTATCTGTGAAATATATGAAATAAGTTTATACATTATACAACAATTCATTAGACTATAGTACTTATAAAAATCTTATTATCAATATTATTGTAAACAATACACTAAGGTTTTAGTTATATATAACTTTTCAAAATATTTATAATCATTTATGTAACAACAGTTTTATGAACCAGTGTTTTCAAATTATATTAAACTAATATTTATGGCAACACATTAACAGAGACCTTGAATAAGATTTTTATATCTTAAGTCCAAAAATTCTACAAAGCCATAAAATTATAAATCAATAAATTAATAAAAAGGCGCCTATAAGGTTACTTGTTTTTGTTTTAGTGTGATGTACTATAATTCTTATCATTTTAAAAGGTTTCTTCAACTCATTTTATAATATATTTTATTTCATTCCATCTAATTTGTTGGGGAGCCTATGTTTGTTCGATGTTATATGATAATAGCGTGAGAAGTGTTTTTTTCTAAGGAATGATATGTGAAAATAGTTAGCACACGATTTTTATTTTTGGTTATTCTTCGATTGCAAAACTAACCTCAAATATAATAATATACAAGAACATAAATTTCAATAATATTAATCAGAGAAGTGACTATTAATATAAAAGCTTTTTGGGAATGAGAGTACCTATACACATAGCAATATTATCGAGCTGATGATGATTTCTTCAGTCAGCATAAGGCAAAGGATCTTAATAAAGCATTTCTTTCTAGTTCTGTTTTTGAATATTATTAAGTTGTGGGGAAGTCACACTCTTACTCAAAAAAACTATTGTTAACAGTTTTTGGTAAATACGAAAATGACTTCATAATTACATCTATCTAATGCGATTCTTCCACTTTTTTGTCATAAATCTTCCATTTATATTTTGTACTTCTTGACTTATTATTATATTATTATAAATATTATATTATAATTAATGATATATTATCATTAATGTTGTATTAATATATAATGTTATTATTACTATACTTATTATATAGTGATAAAATAAATCTTTTTACGGACTATATATTTTATATGTGTAAGAAATATATTATTTTTTTTTTCAAGTAATAATTATACTGTCCATTATGGGTCAATTTTTTGGAGTTAAAGTTTAGTTTTAAATATGTGTCATTATTTCTTATTTGTGATTAATTATAATGATTTTTGATTTTGCATAATAAAATTATACGATCTAAACTAAATTCTATTTTAAATCCCTTTAGATAAAAGGGCCTAAAATATTTTTGCAGATATTATATAGTATAATAAAGAAAAACAAATCTTACAAACCATTTATATTAATCGTATACTTAAAAGACAGTTAAACATATAAAATACTAAGATGTCCCAGTGAATTATGTATTAAAATTTAAATCCTAAAATATTAAATGTGTAGAATATACGTTAATATACTCACTCTCTTGAGATTTCCATGCCAACAATTTGAGGCGATTGAAATAAACTATTAACGGTTAGACCAGCAAAGCCCGTAAATATTAGAAACCAAGTATAAGAACTTGTGGTCCAAATGGATAGCATGCGACCTAATGAACAAAAAGCAACGCTAATATAGTAAACTGGACGACGACCAAAACTAAATAAAAGAAATAAATAAAGAGAGAAAAATAAATTTCAGAATAAAGAGAAACAAATAATAAAAACAAAAACAAAAACGGAAAGAAATAATAGAAATTGCATTAATAGTTCATACAGTTTAGGTTCATATTTTATTTAGTTAAATCCTTGTAAGCAAACTTACATGTCACCCATTTGTCCTAGCACGAATGCACCAACAACTTCTGTAACGCGTCCAACAACAAAAACATTTGTTACAAACAAATCCTTTGAACAAACCCAATTCTCCTGTGTGGGAATGGTGCTCTCGTACCAGGTCTGATCATAACTCCAACCATGTTGGCAAACTATACACGTGCATACACAATGAAAGAATGTTGTAAGGACGATTCCATTTGTAGATGTTTGTGGGGGATGTCAAAAATAGAAAAGATACAAAAAAATTGAGAAAAAAGGAAAAATTAAAATAAAATTGTACGGATGCCATTGCAGAAAATTAAATAAAGTTAAATAATAAAATAAAAAGTGCGGCATAAGTGAAACGCATTAAAGTGCAAAGTTGTAAAAAGTAATGCGTTGCAAATGCTGAAACTTTCCTCGGACTTAGATATCTTTTCAAATGTTTTTTCCCATTATTATAATTTTATTTTCCTTTAAGCTATTTAAAACATTGAAGTGAAAAGATACTAATGTCCAATATAAGTAAGAGCTTACTGGAATTATTAATAGTAATAGTTTTAATTTTCTTTTTTAATCGTCTTTCATATATTTTTGAATTTTTAAATTACATTTTAAATTTTAGAAATTTACAAATTACAAATATGTTATAATAATTAAAAATATTTGCAATTTAAATAATAATCTTTAAAATATAAAACTCTAGGTATTTTAATTTAATTTCTTGCAAAATTTTGAGGTACTTCCAATTGCTACCTTTGGGATTTAGAAATTTTTGCTATGAATAATTTTGTACAATTTTCTGTATTTTTATTTATATGAGTTATTTATTTTATTTGAGTTATTTATTTATATTTTAAACAAATAGTTGAAATGTATTCTTTATCTTTGTTCAATTCTCTAAGGAATTTGATTTCAAAAATATTAACATTTTTAATGATCTATTTGGTAGTATGGCTTAGAAATTTCATTCACAACTATTAAATTATTTCCAAAATGTTTAGTGATAATATTCTTGAAGTATTCAATGTATTTAAATTTGTACATATATATGAATAAAATTGAAAAAGACCAATGATTAAATTTTGAACCATCCACAGAGACACAAAAATAAAAGAAATATCTAAGTGGTCATTTCATTGTTATATAGGTTCATTACAGAATTAAACCCATGATTAAACTTCAAAATACATACTGGAAACTGAAGAAGTAACTAAGTGGGCATATATATGGCATGAAATAAAACTCTATACTATAGTTTCAATACTACTATTAAACGTTGAACTTGGAAAATACACCCAACTCTTTTTTTACACGGTTTCTTTTTACACAGATTTGAAGTTAAACGGTTGAAAAAAAAAATTTTTTTGTAAAAAATTTTTAATCTAGTACGGTCTCAAAATTACTGTCTTGTTTAACACTTGGCATTTTTTTTACACGGTTTTTTTTTACACGGATTTCTGAGGAACGTATCTACCGTGTAAAAAAAGAGTTGGGTGTATTCTAAATCCATGAAAGAGGCACTATAGATTTCTATGTAGCAGTGCAATTCCCTTGATGTTATAATAATAATAATAATAATGTAATAATAATAATAATTTAACACTCAAAAGAAACTCAATTAAAGATGTGTTTTTTTTTTTTAAATGTTTATCTCACCTGATACATTCGGTTTTGTGGCATTATTCCATAAGTTCCCATCCATGATATTTGTAAAACTTGTATTATACATTTCGCAGCTACTAAATTTTTCTAGACCTCGATTATCCTTTTCTCTATATTTATATAAAATTATAGAAAAGTTATTTTTTAGTTAATATTAAAAAAATAATGGCACGTCTTACAAAGGTAATGTAAGATTCCTCCACTCTTCTAATGTGTAATTAGTATTTTCTCTTCCTGGCACTGTACACCAATGATCAGGTATATTTAATGCTAAAATTATATTCATATAAGTCATTGCACCTGCACCTGCTAGACCCATCACAAAGATTATATTATATATTAACTGAAAACGACCATGATTGCCAGCTTTTTCCATTAAATCCTGAAACGGATCATCTGTTTCTGATGGTTCTTCTTTGGTCATCTCATAAACACCGTTATGATGTACCCCTTGATTTTGTTGAGTATCTTTCATTTTTGGTTTTAATATTAAACTATGTATTTACTTAATTGATAATGAGAAAATTTTAGATAAATTTGTAGGAACTCTGGAGATCTAAAAAAGAATGTGTTTAATATAAACAAAAATTAATTAAATTATTCCGTTACATATTTAAAAATTAATATGTGATATTTAAGCGACAAAGGACGAAATGTTGAGAAGAATGGAAAGTAAACAAAATTTAAAGGATCACAATCAATATTATAATGATATTTATAAGTTATAGTAAGATGTTAAAGCTGTTAATTTCATTGCTGTAAGCTGTATTAATCATTGTAGCTTAGTACTTCACCTATGATATTTTTATTACTTGGTCTCCTATCTCAAAGAGGAACTAAGGAAGCATTATTGGTGGGAAAATTTGCTTTGAAGTTCTGGTCATTAAATAATTATTAGAGAGACTAACTCAACAAAACATATAGTAAAAATATGCATAAAATCATACCCATTTAGGATATTTCTTGTCTCCAAGTTATTACAAAAAAATCAAACTAATGCTATATTTTTGCATATATCTCTTTTATTATATGTAGAATATAATAGATGTTATTTAAAATATTTAAACAAATTATTTTTCGTCTGTTCATTTCAGGTTTCGTAAAGAAAATTTTTATGAATGGAATGTTTTTTTATTAATGTTATTAACTTTTATTATATTCACTAATATTTTAATTGTTTGCTTAGTTGTTAAGTGATTTATTATTTTATGCTTGATATGAAATTCTGTGAAATATTGTATATACTTTAAATATGCTTGAAGTAGTTTACTTATCTGATTTTATATAAGAGGCAGACTTTAACTACATAATAACTCTTAAGTAGTCAGATATAATTTTACAATTATTTAATGAGCCACTTAAGTTTGTAAAGAGCGTGTATTTTTATCAATTTCATAATAAGTGCAATACTTGATATAATTTTTGTTATTAACTGCCAAAACCAAATAACTTAGTAATAAAAAAAACTTCATACGAGAGTCAAGATAAGATCTTAAGGAAAATAATTAAAAAACAGTAATAAATTATATACTTCTAGATGTGAATATCAGCTATTTATGTGTAATAAATATGAGAAGTTCCTGGTTTCTTAAATAGTACATATACTTCGAAAAAATTCTTCCATCATTTATGGTCCATCTAACGACTATTCGAATAGCTCAAAATCAGACATTTATATTAAGTGTCGAATTCTTCAAACTCAATACACTTAAGATACCACTTAAGATGGAAGTGATATCCCTCAAGGTTGTTATTGGCATATTTTTAGTCAGACATCTTGAAATTAATGTATATCTCAAACTTTTTTTATATTATGATTTTAATAATATATAAAAGGTAATAACATTAACTTAACTCAATTGTTTTGTAATATGAAAAACAAATTATATATTTAAATGCCATATTTATTTTTATACTTATATCACAATTTACAAATCTTACTGGAAGGTAGTATTAATAACTCAACCCGGCATTCTTCGTTTTCTTACTAAGTAGGATCAATAATCGTTTCAATTTTAAACTTTCACTAAACTTCAAAAGAGCTTTATGGTGTTATCGATAAATTCTAAGTGTTATTATATATCGATTAAAGGATTATTTAAGCATGCTTTACTGAGAATCCATTTGGTGCATCCAGTTAACTGACATTAACAGCGGAGAAAATCTGTTATTTTTGTTTTTTCAAGCCTTCCAACGTTATGTGGTTGGGTGACGTTGATGCCATTGTATATTGAAAAAAAGTATATATATAATAATATATAATACAATTATGTACATATATTTAATAATTTATATAAAGTTGTCTGAACAAAATAAGTTGATATTGTACAGATAGTCTATCTGTTGTTTGGATACCAGAATACAGTGACTTTATGATAAATGAAGGGATGTTCTTGCGTGGAGGCATAAAATATTTTATTAACGTCATATCTATAATATATTAAATTCCCAAAAAAAACGTACCAATTAGATGGCGAAAGGAAATTATTTGCATCGAGATTGAAAAAATTTGATCATCTATTAATTAATTAAACTAGATATAGCCAAAATCAAATTTATCATCCCTGTCCTTAATGGATTTTGTCATCAATTAATTTGCAATGCACAGAGCTTAAATGTTTTGAATGATGATCATCGCAAACTTTATTAAAAAAATTAGAATGAACTAACCTGGGTTTATTATGGGAAATTTCACTTTTGGCAATGGACGAGTCTTTAATTCTTGGGAAATATGTTGAGAAGGATATATGTATGTAAGCATGTTAAGTAGTTATATAATATAGTCAAGCAGTAGCAGTGGTTTTCAGCAGTCAAGTAAAAGTCGGTCAAGCAGTTTTATAGTCAAGCAGTAATGGCAGTAGTAGTGAAGTCAGGAGTCAGCAGTCGGCAGTTAAAGAGTACGGTCGTGTATATTAACTGGAGCTTGTCTTTTACATGTATGTATATATTATAGAACTATTATAAAATGTAGAATGTTTTAATAAAAGTTTCATAAACTTCTCAAAGACATTAAACTGTTAAAGTTTATTGGAATATCTATTGATCAGGTCTTTCAGGTATGCTAATACATTATTGGTATTATATGCAATACGTAAAGTAGTAAATCTAAAAGGAGAAAAGGTGCCGGTGTGAGAAGGTGTAAATGATTGTTGCAAAAAACAATGAACTCATAGATTGTCTATAATTAATCTGTCGCAGCTTCTTTCCTATATCCAATCCAAACTTTTTCTTTCCGCAAGGACTTCGAATTTATTAGGTTGGGCTACTATAATAGCAATACAGTTTATGTATTTAGTAAGTTCTGTTTAAAATTAGAACAATCAAGCAAAAAATAATTATGATTATTTTTCTTAAGATATAAAAACTTTTACTTGAGCAAAGTATATATTAAATATTTAGTTTTAATTTTATTAGTAATTTCTGATTTTTAATTTATTATTAATAATTAATGTGAAACTATGATCAAGGTTAATTTAAATATACCTACTATACTATACTATACTACACATTATTAAAATTTACAATGAGATTCAAAATTGTTTAATGTGTTATAGTTTGATTTGAGGCATGTTCTATCGAAAAGTCCATAAAAAGAATTTCATCGTTGACTTGCATGTTTTTTATAACATAGATACAACATTTTGTTTACATTTTTTTTTTTGTGATAAAATGTTAACAAAATTATGTTAATCGGTCATTGCAGAACAAAAACTACAAATGTAGAATTTGATAAAAGTAATTTCATACGAAACTGATAAGAAGCGATGAATACGCGTAATAATAGTTTATAAATAATTACCTTCAAACTTTTAAATATTATTTGGATTGCAATTTTTTTTCTTGTTATTAATTTTAATTTGAACTCTTAATTTATTTGTTTTTTCGATTAAATAATAAAAAATATTTACACTTTTTAATCACAACACTTGAACTGATTATTAAATTTGAAGTACTCTTATCGAGCATATTTGTAATGTGTAATTTTATTTACACTCACTTTGGTTATAATTAATATATATTTTATGTAATTTTTTATTTACATCTTGTAATATTGAGTTTGAAATTAATTAATAATAACACTATTTAACAAATTGAAATATTTTAAATTATATTAATTATTATATATTATATTTTATTAATTATTTAAAAATTTAATTATAATTAATTATTAATTATTTTTAATTAGTGATATTAATTAATAATTATTAATTATTTTTAATTAATGTTTATAATTTTTGTAACTAAAATAAAATTTTAATGTTTTATATAAATATGCATATATATTTCTTAATTTGTGTCTAATTAGAATACTTCATTAACTCGTTAACGTAGCTTTTCACTCCGAATAACAAAGCAAATCTGAATGAAATGAAGAATTATAATTAAATTAAAATTAACACCAGTCAACAGCCAGAAGTGGTAAAATTGCCAGTGATAAGGCAGCTTACTTTTTATAATTTTATTGCACCTTTAATCACTTTGTGTAAATAAATATCTTAGAACAATCAAAATAAAAAGAAGCTAATAATTTGAAGAAAGTACATGTGCTCTTAATTCCTTACGATAATGCGTGTTATAGTTGACTAAAAATTATACCCAGTACAAAATAGGTTAAACTGAAAAGTCTTTCAATCAAGTAAATTGAATATATGATAAGAAAAGTTCTCAATCGTTTCGTAATTTACACAATATCAATCTATAGATATATTTCAAAGTTAGTTGAATATGATTGACTGTGAGGCATTTCTTTTCAATATAATACAGGGTTATCCATTTTATATTTCCAAAAGCAAATGTAAATAAAATAGACTTGTGATTGAGATATGGAACAAATTTTCATTTCAACATATTGTTTGAGTATTGTCATAAGGTCTGAAAAACAACATCATTTAAATGCTGTGCTCTATAACAGTGCTTGTTTCTTTTGAGGTGATTTGTCGACACCCAGCTGTTAATAATTTGGACATAACTTGGTGGGTATATATTTTCATAGTATCGATAGTTTGAGAGCTCTCTTCATGATAAACATGATCCTTTGCGTAACTGCGCAAAATAGTATTCAGTAGTGACAAATCGTATGATCTTAGTGATAAAATCCATAAAGCTACTTTTTGTGGATGCAATAGTCTTTTTATAGTTCTTTCACTGCTCCAAATGTCACAGAGGGGCATACCCCTTAAGCGAATGTGCTTTACTCATGAAGAGAATTTGATGAGACCACTTTATTAAACTTAAAATTACTAAATTTAAGTGTGCGTTGTAGTCTGTAATGGACTTAAGATTAATATATAAACTAAACTTTTTCTATTGAAGATATTAAACATTTTTTGTCTAAAGTTTTTTTGTTGGGATTTATTTAACACTCCGTATCTCGGTAATTGTTTAAAATTTTTGATAACAGTCATGACTACGTTATTTCTAAATAGGATGATTTCTGAATAGAAAAATTCTATGTTTGATTATAAGGCAAATGCTTATTGGCGCCTTTTTTTTTTTTTTGATTTTATAAGCAATCTTAAATTTGCACTCATTCCTATTATAAAACTATTTTAATAATTTTTTTATCGGTCGATATTTATTGTCAAAAGAAACAATAGAAACAATTTGATTAAATTCAAATCTTTTAAAATTAATACACCGTAGTCAAGTACAAACGATTGAGATGAAGGTCTCAGTAATAGCAATAAGACGATTAATTGGTATTTTTGTTAATATTCCAATAAAGATCGTCTTACCATCGATCTAAAGAATCCTAAGGAAGGCCGATTTTTATTTGACGTTCAAAAGATATTTATACAAAAAAAAAAAATTCCAAATAATCCATCAAATTTAATTAAATGATGGATAGATTAAAAGTAAAAAGAAATTGAAATAAAGTACGTTTCGTTTGGAAAATATTGCATGAATTTTAAGGGACGAAAACGCTTTCTTCACGATGTGCAAGAACAATTGTTCTGCTTTCGTAATTTCTTGGAGGATTGTCTTTCTTTTTTGTATTTTATTTTGATATTGACACTATATACACCATTTACAAGAAGTTGAAGCACGAAATATATGGATCGACATCTATAGAGAAGCACTAAATAGAGTCAGATTTCAAAGAATTCTTGGGGCCCTGTGCTCCACTGGGGAAAGTGGACAGTAGTAGTAGTTAATAATTTTTTAAGACTGCAATTATTAAAGGTTGAAGTCGTACTCTACCAAATTTTAAGATTTAAATCAGCGTTCATTAGCCAACTGACCCAAAGGCTTACTAGACTTGTATTTTTGAACCTAGATTTTTGTTAATTTATTGTAAAAGTTCATTTACAAATTCACTTGCTGTGTTATATTAAAACGAAATCATAAATTAGTTGTAGAATAATTAAATTAATTAGTTATATTTTTATTATTAATAGTTAAATTTTAACACTATTCTTTTATAGTATTATTTATTATATGATTATATATTAGTCGTTCTTGTGTATTTAAGTTAATCTAGGAACGTAATACGGAGAAAGTCATGCTAATGCTACTCTATGATTCATACAAGGGAGACTGGAAATTTAATATATTGTTCTAATTATTTCCATTGTAATTATATTTTGTTAAAAAAATAATATAAAAAAGAATTTTTGTTGTTGTAGCTCACTATATTTCAAAAAGTCTCCATTGAATACAAAAGTTTCTTGTAAGTAAAGTAGTGACTACCGTAAATTAAATATATTAAATAAATTAAATATAATTAATACATTTCGCTAGAACATCTCTTTACAATTTTATTGGAAAAAACTTTTATGTACAGATCCAAAACATATACACCATATATAGCTTATATAGTATATAGTATGTAAGCTATTCTTTTAAATGGTGTTTACAATATATAAAGAATTAAATTAGCTTATAAAGTTTTATATTAATAAACACAAAATTGATCGAATAACTTAAAATTTAATAATCTGAAAACGAGATTAAATTCAGTCAATTATAATAAACAAATAAACAAACAAATTTCAATTAGTTCCATTCAATTTTTATGAAATATTGCTATAATTCTAAATGAAAGTTTTGTTTATTTTATAAATCAACATCTGTTGTATTTGAGTTGAAACGTCACTCTTAGCTCAAAAGTCTTGCCTAAGTGGTTTCATTAATTATGCAGCTACTTTAAAGATTTGTGAAAAAAATTCATTTGCAAATAGATTTATTCCAATAAAGATATTATTAATTTTAACATAAAAGAAAAATAACTTCGTCATTGTATTATATGTATATGTATAAAAAAATTGGTAGATCAAGTTTTGTTTTATGAGTTTTTCCCACTTAATAGCTCGGGCAAATAAGCCTTTGTCAACGTCTTCTAACATTATTTATACTTTAGATGATGCTCACAATAGCGTTTCAGGTAAGAATTATTGAATTTTAATTAGATAGAAATCTTTTTTTAAAAAAGTAAACAATATATACAGGTTACAAGTATAAATGCCAAATTGAAAGAGAATCGTTAGTTACTACTTCTGACTACCTTGTATCCAGTTAGTTGGCTCAGTTTGTCGGCTCGTCTAAGTCAAAGCGGTTAATAATCGAACGGAGGAAAATATAAATAAAATTAATATACATTTTATTGTATCTAATTGCATTTAAAGTGAAATTGTTTTGTGTGATTAAATTAATTGCGTTTATTTCAATTGAATATTTGCGTGTTTGAAAACTAATAATTTAAAAATGTTTTCAACTAC